TATAAAGAAATGTATGTATTATAATAATTAATTATAGGTCATCACTGCTTAATCTGTAAAAATTTGTTTAGGTGCATGGGAGTGACCGGTGTCTAATAACATACTATACAAAGGAGGCAACCACTTTCTTAATTTTCAATGCATGTCAGTGACTGAATCAACAAGTTTTTAATTTTTGGCTGTTCAAGAAAAAATATACATGTCTCAGTATTTTGAAGTTTTCATCCGACATAGACAATTATATATATATAGTCAACATCTTCATCAACTAATTTTTATTCACCTCACGAAATTTATTTTTTTTAATATTTTAAAAGAAAAGTACATTATTAAAATTTTTGATTTTTTTAATTTTGTGTTATATAATGAGAAATAATCTTTTTTATTCCTTAATACTCTTATATGTTAAATAACTTAAACTCAAAATTTCTTATTTTCATTGAAAAAAATTATTACTAAATTATTTAAATTATTAAAAAAAATTAAATATTAAATACAAAAAATTTTCTTACTTTGGACTATAAAATAAAATCTTTTTCTAGCATTATCAGTTAGGAATATAGGAGAGTGATTCTCAGTGGAAAAAATCAACTCTTTAAATTGTCAAACGATGAGATCTTGAAGCCAGTTATATAACATGTTAGTAAATTAAAAGAGAAAAAAATTATTTTTAATTATACATTAAAAAAAAAAAAGAAAAAATCTTTAAATTCGTTGGCTAGCACTAGCAGAATGACATGGGTCCATGGTTTCATTATGGTATGCCCCTTGGCCCTTGCCTCGATCAATTTGCTCAATAAACGTCATTTTTTCCGAATAACATTATTCTGCGGATCTGAGTATATATATATATAAACCTCAACGCCCATGATAAACACATCACTCTTTTTTTTCCTTGGATGTAATACATCACTCATAAAATTAAATTAAGAAGAAAATGACATATAATTACGATTATAATAAAAGTCGCGGGCTTAGTTGTAAAGTTTCTTAAAATATCATACAGTAGGAGTAATTACATATAACAATCAGCACTTTCTGCTTGTCCTAAAGTAGATAACAGTAATTAAATTTTCTTCGGAGCAGGAAATCCTCAGTAGCCAAGAAGCAATACACTAATAAGTTTTAAGTTATATAGAGTGAATTTTTGAGAGAACAAAAAAAGACTATATGTTGGAAATGTAGAATGAGTACCGTAGAAATGTAAATGAAGGTTTCGTTTAAAAATATTTTTTGATATTTAACTTTTGATTTTTATGTATTTTTATTATTTTAAAAATATATAAAATATTAATTAAAATAAATATTAAATATATTTTACATATTTTATATATTTTTGAGATGTCAAGTGATTAAAAAATCGGCCACTACAGTTATAGACCCAATTTGTCAAATTAAAGCTAACTAAACAATCATAAAAGGATACAATATAGTAATCAGTTCATTAAATTAAATTACAAATTTAAGAAACTAGTTATAAATACATACAGAAAATCAAAAATATTTAATAAAAGTGGTTGCCAAAAAGAGAAAATCTATACAGTGTCATTAGACTTGAATATCAAACCAAAAACTTTAAGATTTAAATGTGGCTCGAAGTTAATTAATAATACAATAATATCAATTTATAAAAATATATACCTGTACGTATATGTAAATATATGTATACGTGTGTACGTGGTGGGACATTGTCGTGGAGAGTGCAATGGCCACGATTTTTCAGAACAGCTGGCTGCTGCAGATGACTGCAGTACAAAGGCCTTTCATTCTAGTTTTTGTCAAAAGATTTATGTTTTTTTCATGTCAGAGTGTACAAAAACATTAAAATTAATAAAATATTAATAATAAAATAATACAGAAAGAATTTCATTAAAAAATTTAAATTAATAAATTAATAAATAAGATTATATTTTTATTATATAATTTGATCTAAATAATATTGTTTACTTATCAAGTTAAAAATCTTAATTTTCTTTTTCTTTCGCTTTACATTTGACTGATAATTAATTAATAATAATATATATTAATAGATGTATAATGTATTATACAACTAATTAAATCAAAATATATATTAATTATTGTCAATATAAAATATATAAAGACTAGGTATGGTTGGGTTTTAATTTTTGCACTGTGTGCATGAAGTGATTTGACAAAAAAAAAATAGCTGTCTATTGTAATGAAATGGTTTTTATCTCTATCCTGTGCCTGCAAAATGATGCAGATCATATATATGGATACATTTTTCTTCATAGCAAAAGTTTTCCCATCTCGATCTCCATATACGTATATACTCCTCTTGTCTTGGGGATAACCAAAATATACTTAGTACAGATCAAAAAGGTACTTCCGGCTTCTTTACCTGACAGCTTATAGGATAAAATGCTTTCAGAGTCAATTGAACTGTGCAGTAGCGATTCAGAGCTTGCGTATATATCTTTCTGAAGTTAGACAATATATCTCGTCATCTTGACTCCAGATCACCGAAGGTTTGACGATCTTATAATTGACACCCAGATCATTAATTAATTGGAATCTATTCTTCTTGATGCCAGAACGTGGATCGATATATATCGACACAGGAGAGTAATACTATAGGGAGAGAGAAATCGATGCAGCCATTTGAGTTGGGTATCTCTATCCTCTTCCTCTTTCATTCTAATTCATAAGGAATTTAAGGACTTGCAGGCTGAGTTTTCTGCTTGATATTTCGCAGTAGGTTAATTTGTTTGGAGTGTTTTATATACTAGCAATAAGATAATCAGACATTTTCAACCAGAAAATTAAGAAATTCAAGTGAACTGAATATGATACTCTCCTAGCTAACCCAGTTTCTGCAAATCTGAAATCATCTACAATACATGTATTTCCAAAATGAAAAATCACCCTAAATTGACTCCTTTCTTGTTCTTGTTCTTGATAGAAAACCGTGTGAGAGGTAGGTGGCCGGGTATTTAATTACAAAACGTTGAATAAAGTTCGGTTGTTTCTTTCTGCTTTTCCCTTTCTAAAATCACAGTGAGCTTTTTCTGAAGAATTACTCCAAGAGACCGCAACATGAGGAATTGGGGGCTACTTTTTAAATTCATCTCTGCTACAAGATGGCAGAAACAATGGGGGGGAGGGCCCATCCTCACAAGAAGGGTGAGGCATCCCTTTCAATCCTTAATAAAACCCAACAAATTATTCAAGATCCATTAATTTCGCCAACATGATTTTATTTCTGAATGGAAATTCAGCACAAAAATCAACTGCCGGTAAAAAGAAAAAAAGAAAAAAGAAAAAACGAAAAAATTAATGGAAAATTATAGATATTGGAGTACTGTTGACCTGTCATATGATGCTTTCTCTCGTACTTGATAATAATACAATAATCCATATGAAAAAGATATATATTTGATCCTCCGATGAGATTATATATATATATATATATACTTTGTTGATCTAAAAGTAGAACTTGTAAAACTAATGATTAAGGCAAAGTTTAACTAATATAATCTGTTGCTTACGCATCATCCATTGCTTTGTGATAAACGTATTTTGGTTTTATATAATTAGCTAGGTTACCGATCATATAAGATTAGTTCGAACAAATAGCTAGGTCTCACATCTAACATTTGATCTTATATATTTACCAAATCCACAAGAAAAAATATATATGCGGATTAATGTCATCTTTGTTGAAAGATTGAATGATATTAAAGGGTGGAATTAAAGTGTCACGAGGTTCGACTAGTAATAAAGATCGGACACTTTGTTTAAGCCCCCAGTCAAATTAATGACATGTTCTCATAGCTGTCTAGACTTTTTTTATGGATATAATTAGTTGAATAATAAAAGAAGAAGAAGAAAAAAAAAAGAAAAACAGATGGGTCGAATTTCCACCAAGTTATACCCAGTTAAATATTTGTTTTGTATTAATAATAGAGTAATTTACAGATATCATAACATTAATAGGGTAGAGTCAAAAACAACTTAAATATTTATTTAAAAAAACACACAGATATCTAAATTAATACTCTATAATAGGGTATTAGGGCAAAACAGAAAAGATAAGTGAGGAATTTGATGATGCCCCCAATTATATGTCTTCGATAATTACTGTGACAATGGGCTAGGGTTACATTCCTCTTTCTCTCATTGTCACCATAATAAAAACTTAGGGTTTTAGGTCAAACTAACACCACTCTCCTACGAGGCACGTTCCTCTACGCTCCAATCACAAAACTTTTCCATGCCGAAGGGCAGCTTTGTAGCCACAGAACACGACGAGAGATTATTTGACTGCATCTTCCCAATTCAGGGAGCGCGTGTAATGAACGGGGGATAAACAGTGCGATCGCTGTTCCCTCTAGGGTTTTTGCTTTCGGACACACACACACAAACATAATGGATTGTGATAAGACACGCACCTTCGGGGACACGTGCAGCTCCCTAATTGGATGCTGTTACCATCCCATACGCTTTTTCCATGGCATGCATGTGACTATCGTATATGCCATGCCTGTCATATGATGACGTGGCATGGATGCACCTTTCGGATGATTTTAATTACAACAATTCCTTGCTTCAAGGATAAAAGATTAAAACTCGCTTTCTCTTCGCTCTCTGGCTTTCTCTCTCTAAAACAGCGTGAACCTCCTCCGCCTTACTCCAGTAGGGTTTCTCGAAACATCGCACTCAGATTCTGCTCTGCAAACTCCGAATCTTGTACCGGAGCTCGTGTCTTCTTCTTCGTTGCCGGAAGTCCTTTCCGATGATGCTGTTTTCTCGAATCGCCGTTCGGAATCGGAGCGAAGTCGATGCGAGCATATTTCTTCTGATAGCTGGCGGAGAATAAAGGTGTGTTTTCGCTCTAATTTGTCTTCGGTGTTTTCGATTGACTTTTGGATCCTTTTAGTGCTGATTTGAACGAATTTTAGCTGAGTTTGGAGCCGTTTTATTGGAGATATTGCAGTGAGTTTACTGGGTTTGGTATGTTGAGTACAGTGATTTGTTTCCGATTTCTTATCTGGATTTGGAGATGTGAGATAATTATTGAAGTTACGGTGATATTTTATGTGTTTTTCGCTGATTGCTTTTCAGTGTTGGTAATGGGGACCACTATTCACTGGTTGTGAATTTGGAGGAAAGTGAAACCCTAGAATTTCGCTTCTGGGTTTTAGTGCATTACTTTACCATAGGTGAGTTTGGAAAATGGCTTTGTTGATTATATTTAATATAATGGAATGATTTGTATTGCTTTTCTTATCATCACCAATCTCATCAGATTGTTAATTTATGTGATGAAACCCTAGTACGTGATTCATCTGATCTATGTTATTTCATGGTTTACTTTGTTTGTTGAATGAGCGCATTTAGCTATTTCTTTTTTTGTTGATGTCATCAACACATTATGCTAATCTTTAATTTATGCTTAATTTCATGAACTAGGGTTTCTGATTTTGTTTTTTCACTTTTCTGTCGTTTTTCTCTTCTGGCCATTGATCATTTTGTCCAAGGAAGTTGTTATTTTATGTTATAAATGATCACAATTTGTAGGGGATATGCAAGCTTATTATCTGTTTTATCTTAATGTATCTAAGTGTATGGTTTCAACCTTTGATTTCCTAGAGATTATATAAGAATGAACCCTATTGTAGTAATTGGGTTATTTGCTTAGTATCTTCAATGTTTTCTTTGGGTCACAGGCACACTATAAATTTAGAATATATGCTTACAAAGTCACTTGATATGGTATTTCTCTACATGTATATATGACATTTTATAATTGCATTTCAGTGGCATATATGTTAGTTGATGATAACATGGAGAAGACTATTTCTGCTGAGGAGATTTATCAAAGTGGAAGTGCTAATCTTGTTACCAAGTCAGCAGGACCATCCATTAAGATTGACTCAATTGTTATAGATCTTGTCAATGCAAATAGCGGGATTGATTCAGAGAAGTGTGAGCATTTTTCTCTACGGTAAGCTTTGTATTTTATTCAATAAAATTGGAATTTCATTTTTTAAACTTAATAATTTAACAGCTGCAATGTTGATATTCTTGTGTTTTTATATTTTTCATTTTAAGAGATAAAGTATTATATATGTTGAGAACTAAATGAGTAAATGTTTAGCATTTTCTTTTCTGTATAGTAATATTTAGCTATTTTATTATCTATTAAAAAAGACAGGTTTAATTACTTTATTTTTATAAACATAATTTTTAGGGATTTTTTTTAAAACTAAGCCTCAGGTGGCAGCAAAGGTTGCTGCACCAAGTGTTTGAAGGACTGACTGCCAAGTCAATATATAATTTATGGAACTATGGTTGAAGAGACTCAAGTTAATTAGACTTATAAAAAAAATGCATTGCAAGTATATTTTCTTATGTGTTTGTATGTGTGAGCAAGTGCGTGGTCGATGGTTCCTGCCCAGAGACCTGACAGCACTAACTTTGTTGACTTACAATGTAGTAAAATTGATACTCAAATAAGAAGTCTTACTGATAATTCTTTTACTTTAATTGTTCTAAATGCAGTGGGTATGTATCTGAAGTTCGCAGCAAAGACTGGAAGAAATGTTGGCCATTTGCCTTGGATAGCATCCATAATAACTCTGAGGAACGAAGCTGTGAGCTTCCTCCTTTAGATGTTCCAAAGTTCAGATGGTCATCTTGCCAAAACTGTCTGCGTCAAGTTGGTGCCAAACACATTGCAAATGAAGATGGTGCTCTTTGTAATACATTTGGTAAATTCAAATCTTTTGGCAGCTGTCGCCATAGGGATGCTACAATGCTGTCATCAGACTTTCAGCAGGCTGCAAACTTAAATATTTATGAATCAAGACAAACTGATGCTAATACTTCTTTGAATGTGAATGGAAATGGCTATCGTCATTTGTTATGTGGTGATAAGGGAGAGAAGAAAACTAAAATTGCAATTAGTTCCCCAATGATAGGTATACTTAAAATCACTCTCAACTTATTTCTATTGTCATTTGCATATTATGGCGATTGATAAATTATTTCTTGTAGGGCATGCTACTGGATTGGGAGAGACTCTGAAGGATCTTCCGAATGTCGTGCAACAAAGATGTCAGACAAATCTAGGTAGGTGTGATATGAATAAGAGATTGTACGAGCTTTGTACTGAAGTTAGAATTAGACTTTTAATGATTCTTTTCATTTCTGCAACTGTAGCTTTCAGGTTGGAGTGCAATGGATCTCTGGAAAATCACAAGCCTGACCCAGCAGATCGAGTTGTTGATGTTAAACTCAATCACCTGGTTAAGAACAATGCTGACATGCTAAATAGTGTGCCAGATTCTATCAAGAATTGTAGAAGTAAACATCCTTGCTTGGAATTGGATGAATGTGATTATTTGTCATCTGAAAGTGCTGAAATATTGCTTGGATCTGCATCTGGCAGTTCCCATCGCAGAAAAACTCGTAAGGTGAAACTGCTAACAGAATTGTTGAGTAAAAATGGAGATGAAAGAGCCATTATCATGGGGAAAGAAAGTCCTCCAAAAAATGCCACTCCTGCTGCATCTACAGGAGAGAAATCATTTTCTGTTCCTCAAGGTCAGGTCACCATCCGAGGGAATGTTACAGGCAGTTTAGGACAGAACAGGAAAAGAAAGCTCGCTGAAGACAAAGACTGGAGATGTGTGGAAATGAACTCTCTCAAAACAGAATGTAAGAAAATTAGTAGTGTTAACAAAGGTGCAGGAATCATTGACACAGTTGTGAGTTCTGATTTAGAAGGTGCACTTACTGGAGCTGGCTTGGAAACTGGTTTAAGGAGACATTTGATTAACCTCAAAGGTGATGAATGCCCTATTATTGGAAAAAAGAAAAATAAAAGAGGTCAGATTTCTGATGATCATTTGTCCTTATCTCCATCTCGAGAAGACATACAGGAGGAAACTCTGAAGAAGACAGGAGGTCTTAGCAAGAGCAATGCTACTGATGGCGTTTTGTTCAATTTTGTGAATACTGAATTTACAACAAGGGAGGCTGATCCTTTACCTGACATAGAAAAGACAGAGAAATATAGTTTATCCAATAGGAAAAACATGATGCATCCAGATTGTGAAGGACATGATTTTCTAATTCCTGGGAATACTAGCATGATCAGAGAAAGTCTGACTTCAAGGCAAAATGTAGAAGTTAGAGGAATTGGGTCTAATGCTGTTCCACTTACTGTGGTACAAGATGCATTAATAGAAGAAGGGCTGCCTTTGTCTTTTAAGAATTGCTTATCCACTCAAATAGTTGATGGAATTTCTCCAATAATGGATGGAATGGCCTCTCTGATGCCTTGGCAAGAGGCCTTTTTTAAAGATGAAATTATGAGGAAAGATCTTAAGATGAATCATGTGAGAGATTCTAGCTTCCCACCTAAACCTGAACTTGATGTGCATCGTTTGCAAGGATTACATGTTGATCTCGACAGTAAGAGAACCTCCTTTCCTAATGAAAAGCTAAAAAGGCATACACCTCAGGCTGAATTTGGGAGTTATTCTTTGCTGCATCAAATGGTATGAGATTTTCTTTTCTTTCTACAGTTGTTAGAGGAACATCTGTTCAGCCAACTTATCATTTTTTTTCATGCTTCATTGGGAAAGTGTGTTCTAAATGATTGTATTTTTCTGGAGTTGGATAACCTGTGTTTTTTGCATTTTAAAATTCATTTTTATGCTTGAAATCATTTGAAAAGAAGTTATCTGTCTTTTGATTTTTTGACACTTTCATTAAGAAAGTGTCCCACAAGATTAAAGTATTGCAGCAACTCTAATCTCCCCAGGACGTTGGAACTACTTTCCACCCCCATGCTTGTTCCATAAATGTTGATATCTCTTCAGAGGGATTTTTTTTTTTATCTAGATATTGTTAAATATCATGATGTTCCTAAATATTTGTTCATCCTAGGAAATCTTCATTCAGCTTATATCTGCAAACTTATATTGTGAGCATTCTCTTTCATGGTTGTCATCTTGCATGCACATAGCATAAAAATTTAGCAAATTTTACAAGCTGCCCACAGCTTATGCCTGAATACTTTATGGTACACACCTGCTCAAACTTCTTGTTTAAATAAGCATAACCATGTAGGTTTACAGATTTTACAGTTTTGGGGTTTTTTTTTGTGAATCTTGTGCCTGGGGAAGCCATAAGAGTGTTTTTTTTATTTTTCTTCTTCTTTCTTGCTTCCTTTGCAGCATTATTGTGGCGCTAGCAGCAATGAGAAAACTGTGGGAAATCAAGAAAATTTACTTGTTACCAGGGAACATGGCAACCACCAAGCTGAGATGGTGTCTGATCAAGGAGCTTTGGATGACATAACCATGGAAATTGTTGAACTCATGGCAAAGAATCAATACGAGAGATGTCTTCCTGATGCCAAAACTGATAAACAGTCATCAATAGCTACCAACAGTTTCAGAAATCATCAAAAACTGGATCTTAATAAAGCATATGGAAGTGAAGAGATTAGCGGATTAGAGGTTGACAACACTGAAAAACCAATTCCTCGAGCCAGAAGTGGAAGGATTGGCAAACGTACTACAGATGATAATATGGGATCCACCAGAAAAAAGTCAACTGATTATTTCTCTCAAATGGATGTAAAGCAGTACAAAAGCCAATTGGAACAAAGTTGTGCTCCCACAGGGTTTAGACTATTCGCCCAATTTGGAGGGAAGCCATCAAATGGAATCCAATGTTCTGATACCAGTTCCAGCAGGCATGGCAGTGCTCAGAATTTTCGGTGGAGTGGGAATATGGTTGCGAACCAGCCTTCTCATGCTACTACACAGGCATTGGTAGTATGTAATGCATGCCAAAGTGCTCCACAACAAAAAGGAGCTCATCTTTGGCCATCCATGATGCCAAATCACCTCCCCTTTCTGTGTAACATTCCACAGAAGGGTGCAGATGAGTCAATCAACACAAACGTGAATTCACATTGTCCCAGCAGCTTACTGAGGGGTAATATGAATGGAGGTGGTGATGGAAACTTTTTAAATCCAAGTACTTCCAACTTTGAGAGGCATAATAGGAAGTTTGATTCTGAAACTCTTAGAAGGATCCCTCCTGATTACCCATTTGCTTGCAAACATAATGGGGTGAGGTCAATGGATCTCTATTCTAATGAGACCATACCAGCCATGCATTTACTCGGTCTCATGGATGCCGGATTTCAATCAGGTGTTCCAGTTGATTTGAATGGAAACCAAAAATTCCTTAGGCGAGCTTCCTTTCTTCACAATCATCACTCTGAAGAGTTCCCAGGCATCATATCTGGTGGATATGGGACCAGAAATGCTACAACACACCCGACATCTGACTGTTATGGTAAAAACCACCAGCTTCAATATTTCCATGAACATTTACCAGCAATTCAAACAGTTGGTGCTTCTACCTCATTTCAACATGATAGAACTTTAAAACAGGACTCCACTTTTCCTGTTCAATTATCTTTGAAATCTCGGGAGAAAGAGAAAAGAAAGCACTCAGACTTACAAATACAGAATAGGAACCAGAGATCACAGAAAACTGCTTCTAGTGGTGGCTTGAGCATAACTTGCGGAACTATTCCTGTTCGTAGTATGCCCAAACTGATACCTGGGACAGAAAACTTGATGTTTCCCCCACAATTTCATGCTGTGGATAATGCAACTAAATACAAATTGAAGGCTCAGGCTGTGAGTGGAGCTGTTTTGCCTTCAAAAGGCAGTTCTAAGACTGGAATCTGCAGTGGAGCTGATTTGCCTTCGAAAAGCAGTTCTAAGACTGAAATCTGTAGTTTTAACAGAAATCCTGCTGATTTTAGCATGCCTGAAGCAGGAAATGTATACATGATTAAAGGTGAAGACCTAAAATTTGGAAGGCGATCTCCCTCTGGGAACAGGAGTGGGCTACTAAAATTGAGTGGCACTAAGCATCAAAGGAAGCTTATTGCTACATGAGAGCATTTGCAAAATCAAACTTCATGAGGCAGTCATTCACATATATGCTGGTAACTCCTTGGAACTTCTATTACCTGCCATTTTTTCAAATTAACTACCTCTTCCTTAAACCAAGTCATGGGACAAGCCTTTCTGTGAATTTCTCAATCAGGATTTGCTCGTATCATTTCAGCTTGCATTCTCCAAGATGTCTTGCTTGGCAGTACAAAATGAGGACAACTTCTAAGCTTTACAGGTGCCAGAAAGAAAATGCAATAGTTGGAAAATTGAGTGCCAAGTCAATGTCTGCTGTCTGGACCAAAAGATTGCTGTTAGACATCTGAATGCGAACCTGTTGGTTATTTAACATTTCCAAAGCTAAACCATGGAGTACATGCTGTGTGCAACGTAAGGCCTGTAAATATTGCTACGCTTTGACCTTGCACAGGTAAACATACAAACCTATTTAATTGGATACTGTCTGTTGTCTTCAAGATTTTTGTAAAGCATGGATGCCCCTCAGTACTCATCACGGGGCTTAAGTAATGTATTACTTAAGTTACTAAGCTTCATCCCCAAGCTCAGGAAGTGGGAGTGGAAGTAGATACTTTGGATTTTATCAGGTATTCTATTGTTTCGAAGCATACGTCTGAATAACCTCTCCCAAGGGGTAATTATTCTGTTGTATTTTATACCGTGGGAAAGGGACACTTCTTTTTTTTCTTTTTTTTCTTTTTTTTCTTTTTTAATTCTAAGATCTAGATTGGTTGGAACAAATGAAAATTGAATGTCTTTGTTATTATATATTGTTATTATAATAAGTATAGTGTGAGTTATGAATTTATTAAGAAACTTTTAATGAAACTCTTTTTTACGTTAATTTATTAATAGTAGTTTAATCATTTAAAAGTATAGAATGGCTTGAAAAATATGAAATTTTATTATTTATTAGAATATGAACTCTCTTTGAATTTTGGGGTAATAATAGAATTCTCTCTTTTGAATATATTATATATATATATAGTCTCTCCTCTCTTTTCGTATGTGATTTAGTTATTTCACAATTTTTATTTATAATTATAAAGAAATGTATTTGTTATAATAATTAAATTTTATATTTCTGTTTTCATTTTT